ATCAACATGGCTCGCTTTTTGCGACGCACTGAAGCATAACAATGTCAGTCCAACTTGGAAAATGAATTTGTTACAAGTGAACAAGTTGAATCGTGATTAAAGAATGTTGTAATTTGCTGTGGGCGAAACATGTTATAATGACTTTCACTATCTCTGGGCGCGCAGAGTAGCCCTGGGAACAAGGTTGCTCGCGGGTATGTTATCGAATCAGCGCGCGCTGCGGGTTACTTTACGTCACGATCACGCACCATCACGTGACCACTGTTTCATACCTTGTCACAGACTTGTTGGAATCCCAGAGGTTTAGTTTAGAAGTATTGGGTAACGGACTCTATTGTTAAGGGAGGGGCTGGTTTTTGTGTGTTGTAGAGTGTGATTTTTATGTAAGAAATATACATGTATATTAAATAAAAATAGATTGATCCTGGTGTCATGGTAGACCCAGTTTAACATTACTCGTCAGGGGCTGAGATGATAAACTGTTGCCATTATGGTGGATGACAAACGTGTTTCATACTCCAAGGCCTTATAAGAGCTCAAACGGGATCGTGACGTAATACCACAGGTAATCCGCATTTCACTAAGAGCGCGCGCCGATACAAGTACTAGCGTAAAAGCGTGCGCATTAATTCTTTTCTTTCTCTCAAGCAATAGTTGGGTAGCCTATGTTCAAACTGGCATTTTTTTCGTGTAAAAATCTGGGAATTCCTCATGAAACTATTTCGCTATATTTCGTTCGAAAAAATCAAGTTCTAATTTTGTGAGGCGGTTTTGGATGATCATGAGTTAGAGCACATTTATCGCGCTTTTCTGACGCCAAATTCTATCATCCTCAAAATCATTGAAGATATGCGTGTTTGAGTGACAGCCCAAGACTTCAAACTGGCTTTCCAACTCGTTTGCATAAATAAATTTGTTTCGGGTACAAATCTGGGAATTCTTCAAAGCATTTCGGCATATTTCGTTTGAAAAAATCCATGTCTAATTTTGTGTCGCGATTTTGGTTGAGTTAGAGCACATTTATCGCCCTTTTCTGAAGCCTAATTTTATCATCTCAAAATCATTGAAACTAAAGATGCGCTTGTTTACCAAAACATGACTCTGAGTGACAACCCCAAGACTTCAAACTGGCTTTCCAACACGTTTGCATAAAATAATTTTTTTCGAGTGCAAATTTGGGAATTTCTCAAACCATTTCGCCATATTTCCTTTGAAAAAATCCAGGTCAAATTTTGTGGGACGATTTTTGGTAGAGTTAGAACAAATTTATTGCCCTTTTCTAACGCCTAATTTTATCATCCAAAAAATCTTTGAAGATGCGCGTGTTTACCAAAACATGACTTTGAGTGACAGCCCCAAGACTTCAAACTGGCTTTCCTACACGTTTGCATAAAATAATTTTTTTTCGGGTGCAAATCTGTGAATTTCTCAAACCATTTCACCATATTTCGTTCCGTCAACCAGAGACAACAACAGTTGAAAGTGAGGTATTGTTTGGTGACAAGAAGGATGTGAAGATTTGCAATGCCAATAAAGTAGCAACTAAGAGTGAAGGAGGAACCATAACTTATACCCTTCGTCCATCGACCAAGGCTGTACCAGGAACCTATGTCCATGCTAAAGGGTACAGGGGTGATGCKTGGTTCCATTTGATTCATCATGACAGTCTAGACGGAGAGGCCATTACCCGCTTTCTTTACAAGTGAGTTGGGATGTTTGTGATTTCATTGCCCAGAGGTTGAAGGGTGTGGTATRGGGACTCTAGGACAAGAGGCTCTGGTATGATTTTCATATTGTTTAATTTAGGAGTTTAGGTGCTTGGGACTTCAAACTGGACAATGTTTGGAACCGATATGACTGGTGTCATTACAGAAACTGGAGCTGTGAAGAACCCAACCAGATGATCTACTTTGTTCCTGTTATCACAGACACCAAGAAGGGATGCCCAAAAGCTGGCAAGGCTATAAGATTGACTAGTGATTGTATAGTTGGAGACTGGTTTTATGGTCTTCGTCTCGTTGACCCTGATAGTGGTCTCGCCTATGCATATGAGTTTGGCGATTCATTAATTATGATGGAAGATGATCTTTATAATACCAAGGAGTTTGAAGAATTGACAAAAACTGACTTTAAYATCAACATGGCTCGCTTTTTGCGACGCACTGAAGCATAACAATGTCAGTCCAACTTGGAAAATGAATTTGTTACAAGTGAACAAGTTGAATCGTGATTAAAGAATGTTGTAATTTGCTGTGGGCGAAACATGTTATAATGACTTTCACTATCTCTGGGCGCGCAGAGTAGCCCTGGGAACAAGGTTGCTCGCGGGTATGTTATCGAATCAGCGCGCGCTGCGGGTTACTTTACGTCACGATCACGCACCATCACGTGACCACTGTTTCATACCTTGTCACAGACTTGTTGGAATCCCAGAGGTTTAGTTTAGAAGTATTGGGTAACGGACTCTATTGTTAAGGGAGGGGCTGGTTTTTGTGTGTTGTAGAGTGTGATTTTTATGTAAGAAATATACATGTATATTAAATAAAAATAGATTGATCYTGGTGTCATGGTAGACCCAGTTTAACATTACTCGTCAGGGGCTGAGATGATAAACTGTTGCCATTATGGTGGATGACAAACGTGTTTCATACTCCAATGCCTTATAAGAGCTCAACCCAGTTTGTATCCCGCGAGGCACGGGATCGTGACGTAATACCACAGGTAATCCGCATTTCACTAAGAGCGCGCGCCGATACAAGTACTAGCGTAAAAGCGTGCGCATTAATTCTTTTCTCTCTCAAGCAATAGTTGGGTAGCCTATGTTCAAACTGGCATTTTCTTCGTGTAAAAATCTGGGAATTCCTCATGAAACTATTTCGCTATATTTCGTTCGAAAAAATCAAGTTCTAATTTTGTGAGGCGGTTTTGGATGAGTTAGAGCACATTTATCGCGCTTTTCTGACGCCAAATTCTATCATCCTCAAAATCATTGAAGATGTGCGTGTTTGAGTGACAGCCCAAGACTTCAAACTGCCTTTCCAACTCGTTTGCATAAAAATTTTGTTTCGGGTACAAATCTGGGAATTCTTCAAAGCATTTAATTTCGGCATATTTCGTTTGAAAAAATCCAGGTCAAATTTTGTGAGACGATTTTTGGTAGAGTTANTGAGGCGGTTTTGGATGAGTTAGAGCACATTTATTGACCTTTTCTGGAGCCTTATTTCATCATCCTCAAAGTCTTTGAAAATGCGCGTGTTTACCAAAACATGATTTTGAGTGACAGCCCCAAGACTTGAAATTGGCTTTTTCCAACACGTTTGCATAAATCAATTTTTTTCGGGTACAAATCTGTGAATTTCTCAAACCATTTCACCATATTTCGTTAGAAACAATCAAGTTCTAATTTTGTAAGGCGGTTGGATGAGTTATAGTACATTTATTAACCTTTTCTAACACCTAATTTTATCATCCTCAAAACATTGAAAATGCGCGTGTTTACCAAAACATGAATTTGAGTGACAGCCCCAAGACTTCAAACTGGCTTTTCGGCTCGTTTGGATAAATAGTTTTTTTTTCCTGTACAAATATCTGGTCGCCATATTTTGTTCGAAAAAATCAAGGCTTTATTTTGTGATGAATTATGTTGAGTTTAGCAATCTTTTTTGACTTGTAAGCTTAATGTTGTCATCATCAAAATCATTGAAAAGGCGGTTTGATCAGATAGATGTGACTTTGAGTTTTGAGTGTTCTAACGAAATATGGTGAAATAGATTGAGGAATTCCCAGATGTGTACCCGAAAAAATGTTTTCAGCGATTTTACTCTGGGTGGAACAGGGTATAGCTGCGATTTCACTCTGGAAAAGGGTCAGGGTTTAATTCCGGAATTATCGATGCTGTGTAAAAGTTCACGGGGAAAATTTGATTTATTTATTTTTTTATTGAATTTGAGGAAATTCCTCAAAACCTATGAAGTAACAAGCTCTAMTTTTGTCATGGTCATGAAGAATTCCTTGTGCTTGTGATTACGACCAATACCACAGGGAGACCGAAGTGTTATTTGAACCTCAGCTCGATCCAGGCTGCTCTCGATCTGTGTTTCATCAATATGGAATCGATGGAGTTAAATGTTGTGTCTCTGCAAGATCTGTGTCTTTTGACGGTTAGGAATYATCTCTCTTTTTCCAATGTTTGGTCCATTTATAGACTTGTACCCTATGTACATTGTCCAAGAATCCAGCACATCGTCTACTCGTTTATTTGTGAAAATTTCATGGATATTTCTCACACCGATCAGTTTTTGGCTTTGGATGAGGAAGAAATGTACTGGGTGCTCGATAATCAAGATATCAAAGTATCGGAAGCAGCCATGTTAAACAGCTTAGGTCGATGGTRTAAGCACARCGAGAGACAACGAGAGAGTTCTTTTAAAAGGCTTCTTGATAAGATACATTGGAGTGTCGTTGGAGAAAATGCATTGTTGGAAATATCCAGAAAATATCAGTTCCCTAAAGATGTCGTTGGACTGCGTAGATATTTACAAAGAAAACTTCTTCCTCGTTTTTCCCGTGCTAATTTTGATGACTTGATATTCCAAGAGAATCTCTCCAATGTTGCTGTACTGGGATTCCGAGAAGTGGTGACAACTCCAAGGAATCAGCTTAAAAATACAGAYATTTTTGCTTTGTGGTTACCTGTTGATTCCATAATATTTGCTATGAAGTACCWAATTTGTGATGCAGATGATGAAGAGATTATGTTGAAGAAAGTAATTCCATCGCATGGTGATGTTGTATTTGCTTTTGGAACAAAAACGACAAACGGAAGGAGTAATGGGAGTTACACAGAGACTTCAATAAATGTAAAATTGAATTACCACACAGGAACTGCTACATATTGTTCACCTCTTGTCCACTCTCTGTATCCAAATACTTTGTGCATCCATAGTGGAATTTTTATATACTTTATCGGAGGTGAGAAAGAGCTTGGAAATTATACACAAAACATGTATCGATATGATATTGTGAGAGACAAGTGGGCGGAAATGAAGCCAACCATATATGGTCACTCCACTCAAAAAGACTGTGCTGCATTTTACAAGGAGAGATACCTATATGTGTTTGGTAAATRCTCCAGTGAGACATACGACACATGGACAAATACATGGACCTCGTTAGAAACCCCTTTAGATAGGTTTAGTAATCCCGGAGATGCAAAATCAACCCCATGTGCTGCTGTATTGAATGATGAGATTTTTATTTTTGACATCTAYGTAAAGTTTGTGTTCAATCCAAGTACCAATAAGTGGAGGCCCATGTTTCSTCATCTCAATGATGTAGCAGAATCGTGTTTTGGTCGTATCTTTTTGTTATATCATATTAAGCATTGTTTTCAGATAACCATGCCTTTATGTATGATGAACAGTGACTGTAGAGTTGGGTGTTATAACAAGAAGTTAGGTTTTATGAAGCCTTCATTATTTCCTTACACTTMTTATCCTCATATTACAGTAATGAGTAGAAGAACACGCACACAAGTGTACCAGGGCAAATATGTTCAACATATATCAAAGCCCACCAATGGATAACTGGAAAGTTAAACATTGATAGGAAGAATAAAAAACTAAGCCTGAGTGGGGAGGAGGTGRAGAGAGGTCWGATATGTTTATAGTGACTGATTGATTCCTTGACGCAAAATGTCTTTTTTTAGCTGTGTTCTGAATAATKTTTAAAAGTATACATACATTGTAGGGGTTTGAGTGAATAGAAATAGTATAAATACTTCAAGCTTCAAACATAATTAATGTTAATAACAACCACAGTAAATTATGAATATTTCATATAAAAAAGAATAAATATTTCCTTGGGCTTCCTGTGGTGAAAAATGAAAATAAAATTCTTGTTAAAAAAGACAAGCTCAATTTTGATTCCTTTTTTTCAGAAAATATATTTACAAGCATGTAATTATTGTAATGTACCTTTTGGCAGCGATTCATAGTTCAATCGTATTTGGGCTTCCTGTGTCGATTGCTGACGCCATTTTGAAGTTGCTATAGAAACAAAAGGGAGCCCGGTATACAAATATTAAAAATGGCGCTGGATTTGTGTCTTCGTTATTCGATACAAAGTTTTTCATGATTTTCAATGGATAAATACTGATTGTCTCGGTAAAAAGTCTCGATATGCCGTCGGGGAAAACTAGAGGAAAGATCGACTCTTCCTCAAGGAGAAGCAACGGGAAAAGTAAGGTTTTCCATCCAAGGAATCCAAAGCTTGTGAAAACCAAAGTTGAAGATGACAAGGTATAAACTCAGTAATTTGTATATCAGGAATAGTTAACCGTTTACGTTATCTTAAAGAAATAAAGCTGTACGAAGAATTTAAACATCAAAGTCTCACATAGACGTTAAACAGCATTAAATATTGTGCATTTTGCCTGCAAGAAAAGGATCAGCTGTTGAGAAATTGTGTTGTCATTTTTGAAAAGTTACCATGATCAGATTTTCTAGAAAGTTGGAAGTTTCCGTTTTTGTGTAAAAGTTTAGCCTTATCTCGGTTTTATTTCCAAATTATTGCCTTTGAAAATTGTCAGTTTTTAAAAACATGGCAATTGTTATAGATTGTTTTGTAGATAATTTTTCTGGGCATGTACATGTAGTAAATGTAGTATTAAATTCTGTTTTGTAGCAATCCCCATCTGCCTTCATGGCCGAAATGCAGWTGACTACAGAAGAGCGTCTAAAAATGACATACGAAATGAGAATACCACAGATTATTGAGCTTCTTGATATGTCTGAACAAACATTGCAAAAAGTAAGTGAAGTTTGTGGTGATATATCAATAATGCATTTATATATCTGTAATTACTTATAACTCTTATTTTGGTTATGGTCAAAATACTCTATGTTTGCAAGAAGTACCAATTCATTGACACTCAAACTTCCATTTGTC